CTCCTCCTCCTCCTCCTCCTCCTCCTTACCCCGCTACCTCTCCTTCCTTTAAGTAAATCATTCAATCAAAGACTTGCCCACGGCAGAAAATTCTGGTGCCCTGTATTTAAGCGGTGCTTCTTCGCATCCTCTCTCCTCCCTTTGACCTCGAAATCGTTGCCCCCTCGCCATCATGGGGGGATCTTCAGGATGTGGAGGGAGGAGTGTTCTGGAGGAGCCTCGAACATCAGTGTAATCCAAGTCTTTTATCAGAATTGATTAATTCTTTATTAACACAGTTTATTCTCTCTGTAGAAAATATCGGATGATTTAATGGTGTGTGTAGAATATTACTGGGCTGATAACAATAATGCAACTACATAAATAGCCTGTGCAAGGTGGAGCGGTGGTTAGCAGCGTCGCCTCACAGCTAGAAGGTCGCCGGTTCGCGTCCCGGTGAGGACACGCGGGATCTTTCTGCTCCATGTTCTCCCCGTGCAGCGTGGGTTCTCTCCAGGTTCTCCGGCTTCCTCCCAAAAACATGTTGAGGTTAATTGGTGATTGTAAATTGTCCGTAGGTGTGAATGTGAGTGTGCTTGGTTGTCTGTCTCTAAGTGTAGCCCTGTGATAGACTGGTTACCTGTCCAGGTGAACCTGACTTCACCCTGAGTCAGCTGGGATAGACTCCAGCCCCCCATGACCCTAGTGAGGATTAAGCGGTGGATAGATGATGGATAAATAGCCTAATTGATCATGACAATTAACACCGATCTGTGCAAAAATAACGAGACTTTAAAGCCAATCTAATAATACTATTATCAACTAGATGTGTTTAACAACTGCTTACTTATGATAAACCTGTGAGCGGTTGTCTTATTTTTCCGTTTTGATCTAACTATCTAACATAGTGGATGAAAATGTTCTTAAATAAGGGCCTCTGTGGACATTCGTTCCGGCGGGTTTGACGCGCGCTACGGTCGTGTAGCACATCATAAGTAAACGGCGTAAAGGATTCCTCATTTGGCAGCTTCGGCTCCTCCATCCTCGCGCCTCGTCTTCAAGCTCCGTAGCACATAAGTGTCAGATGATGCCTTGTCATAACTCTTAGTAGCCACTTGATGAGCTCGCTGTGTCTCGCCACGTCCTCGGTAACTGATGAGGGGCCCGTCGCCCTCTCTGCTGCAGCTCTCGGTGGCTGAAACATGATGCTAAGCTCTGCTAGCTGATGTTGATGGATACGTCACATCCCATTGTAGCTACGATGCTGATTTATTTACGACGCTGATTAATTTATGCGATGCAATGCAAAGATGCTGCAAGCTAAATTCCTGGCTGAGTGCAGATATTAGCTTAAAGAAAGTAGTTTGCACTGGTTTCCCTCAGTTTCCTTTGCTTATTTTTATTTTTTTTGTACCCCTTGAGGAAAGCAACGCCTCTATCAGACATTTCCACCATTTTGGATTCAAATTCTCTCAGCCGACTCATTCAGCCAGCTATGACCGTAATTAATTTGAACTTTTAATAAACTGTGCAAACAAAAATGAACCTGTCTTTCATTCATTTTTTGACGCCGCTCCCTCCTACTGCGTCCCTTATTGGTCAGTCCCGCTTTTCTCTCGTGCCTCTGCTTGACCGTCCTCCTCCTCACCTCCTCCACACATAAAAGATTATTAAAAAACTCCTTTAGTTTTCATTATCATTTACTGTCATAACTGAATCCCTGCTTTAAAAAAATCACAGCCCTCGTCTCACCTTAGCGAGAGGGATTCGTTTTCCAATTCTTTTGCCCCCGTGTGATTAATTTTGGTTGAACTGTGAGGGAGGCAATTATTATTTCAAGTAATTTATATATTGCTTAGTATTCGATTGCAACTCGAGGCCCATTTAGAGACTTTATTAGCTATTAATCATAAAAAAAAATAGAAACGACAACCAGAAACTCGGTGGTAAAAACCACAAACACACGATGTCACCGTTCCATTAACTCATTGGTCGAGCAAAACTGTCATATTAGGCGTCGGCAGGTCTTCCGTCCAACCCTTCATTACTGATGCCCCATTATGTGGATCCGTGTCCCTCTGAGGCTACGAAAACCAGGCTGATAACGAGGCCTGCCATTTAAAAGGCCACAGTATTCTCACTGTGTCATGTCTCATTACGAACCCCCGCGATATTTGTTTACACTCCTCCGGCCTCGCGGACCTCTTATCCAGATCTGTTTCTGCAAGAGCCGGAGCAGTCGAAAAAGCCTTCATCAAAGAAATGGGTCTGAAAATTTCTACATTAGAGCAAAGTGCCAGTGCAGTCTATATTTTCCTTCCTCTGCTGCCCCCACCCCTCCTTCCCGATGTCTTTTTTTTTTTTTTTTTAAGTGAGATCAATCTTGTTTCCGCACAATTGCACAGATTGTAATCTATTCCAGCTAAAACGAGAGAAGGGGGGGAAAAAAAGAAGGATAAAAAAAAAAAAAAAAAGCTAAACTTGAAATAGAGCCATTCATCACAGAGTAAACAGCATAACAGAAGGGCTGTGAGAAGGAGCAGGAGAATGCTGAGAGAAAATGCTCGGGGTAAAGAGAACAGAAAAGAAATTGCCGCTGCAAAAGCAAACAAAGCGCGGCACCCTTTGCCTGACAGAAGTTCACCGTTCCCCGCTCTCCTCACGAGGATGTGACATTTAAGAGGACGGTGTCTTGTTATTGCAGGCCTAATTAACATTCCAGGATGTGCCAGCTGGAGATGGACACCCTGCCAGTGTTGTCCCCCTTTTCACCCTCAGTCGTGTTTGTCCATGAAGTTCCTCGGCTTTCTTTAAATGCAAGCGGCTCTCGGTGACGGTTCCCTCATGCCCCGAGGTCTTTATTGTGTGACGATGCACACAGGCGCTGCCAGCGCCGTCTCAAATGTTCCGCTGTGGTCAGTGTATTTGCCATTGCCAGAGGTGTCAGGCTGTGGTAACCATAGTGACAGTGTTATAGGCCTGAATTGCAGGAGGTGTCGGAGCCCTTGGGGCACCACAGATCTAACTACAAGAATCTGTCATGCTCGATGCACTTTCTTTGCCAGGTCGGTTACAGTCCTTTGACAAATGTCAAAGAAAAGTGTCACGCGCCCACAACCCCGATCTCAGTCAGCCACGCAAGAGCTGCAGCACGAGCCCTTATTTGAAGAGCACATGTTTAAATGCAATGCTTTTTTTTAGCGTTCATCTTTAGGTGCTTTTTTTTTTTTTGTTTTCATTTATTCACTTGTTTTTTTATTCCCTATTTAAAGGTGCAAACTGCTCTTGCTGCATGTCCAAGGAGGCGTAGCTGGTCTCAGAAATGACCACATCGATGATATTTAAAGCAGTCAAACCTTTCATAAAATGGCTACAGGCTGATTCACTGTCAGAAGAGAATCTGGGTTTTAATTATGTAACGCTGTCCTACGCAGCAGACGTTTCTGTTAAGACGGATTCAAAATAGCTCGTTACACAAAATTCAAACTTTACATACAGGAAATGTCATCAGTGCTTCCTGTTTTTATTTGGATCCTTCATAACCTCCTGTTTGTATTAAAAAATCTGAGCGATTTAGTGAAAGGGATCTACATCCACTCACTGTCCGTCAGCGCTCTCCACAAGCAGCTGATAAATTTAGTGTCTGAGCCACGAGGAGTTGTATGACGAGCAGGACGGAGAGTGCGGGACTGAAAGAAAACACATTGCAGACAACAAAGGCGACGCGGATATTGGATTTGTGAAGTGCATTTTGGTTCTTTGTCGGTACATGAGCTGCTCGTAACTTAGCCCTAAAATGTCTTAACCTTATTTTTGCATGAAGCATTAAAAGCATTCAGAGAAGCCTCTGTCTTTTGATGGGAAAAAAAAAAAGAGAACTACATGATGCAGAATGTGGGCAGCTGCAGCGAAGAAAAGAACAGTCGGAATAAAGGCTCCAGAGTTCCTGGCCCTATTCAGAGCACAGGAGGAGGGTTCATTTTTCTCCTGCTGTTAATCTTTTCAGGAAAAAAAAAAAAGAAATGCACTGAAGTTGGTTTTTGTACCGAACAGTTTCCTGATTATAGACGATGAATGTTGTGGACTAGATGTGGACTGTTTTATTATAGTGTTGATATATTCACATTAATGCAAACAGCGATCTTTAAACTAAACGATACGGCATGGATACCAAAAATTCATTCCAAATCTCTAAAATAACCCCCCCCAAAAAAATACACCAAATAAATACGCCTCCTCCTGCTCGCAGTAAGTGTGCATTTGCTGTATGGTGATTTATTCATCACCTCAGCGTTTGGCTGCTTATCAGCAGTGCAGGCAAGTATTGAGCTCGCAGAGATGACAGAATTTGCAGGACTTGCTGTGCCGGGCTGAATCTCTGAGCCTGGAACAATAGACGAGGAAAATGAGAGTGGCAGCGCGGGGTTGGGGGGGTGTTGTCACTCGTGTGAAAGATAGATGCCACACAGAGCACGGGCTGAAAAGTGGGACAGCTCTCAGAAGAACTACACAGGCCGAGATACCGAATAGCCTCCGAATCAGCAGTCTGAGGAGATCTTTCAAGGACTGATTCAGCAGTCCTCTCTATGTTTCAGTCTTCAAGACACGCCGGTCTGATAAATAATAAGCGTGAGCTGTTTGGTTTTGATGTTTGGGGGGGTTGGGGGGGCCCTCCCTTGCTGTCAGTGCAAATGAAACTCCAATTTAGATTGTGTGCTTGTGTGCATTTGCACTTCTTACTGTAGGTGGAGTTTTCTCCCACTGGTAGTAAATTCCAGTGACATTTCATCGTCTTTGATATCCTTGATTGTGTACTCCACCTCGACGAAAACACAGCCTCCGAGTCTGCGCGGGTCTCTGTGGACTGTCTCCACTGATCAATTCCTCAGCCCATCTGTCTGCCAGGCTTATTCACAGGGCCGCACCGTAGGCGAGACGAACTCTCGCAGCAGGAGTCTTCATTAAACCGATCCTCCCTCTACTCCCCACCTCCTCCTCCCCCCTCTTCTGTCTCTCCGCAGGCCTGGAGAAAGTTAATGAGAAGATTCGATCAGCTGGCACACACCCCCCACCCACCCACCTTCCTCCACTCCATCCCCTCCATCCCAACCGTCCTCCAGTGTCAGCGTTGGCTTCTTCACATAGCGGGACAGCGGTGAGTCCACGCCGACACACACTGACTTTAGAAAGGGATTGGATCACCTACCACATGTGTCAAAACCTGACTCGTGGGTTATAACAGATGTTTAAGTCAAAATAAGGATGTTTATTATCACCAAAAGCAAACCGTTTAACAAATAAGTAGTGTGACTATCGGTAGTGTAGGTGCGAATGAGTGAACATGATGGGATGTGAGGTGTTGTGGAGCAGAAAAAAAAGCAGAAAGGTAACGGAGAAACCACCAACGAAGCCGGGTCAGAATGAATGAGAGAGAGGGACGGCTGAACTTTATGGGCCGTCCTGATGCCTTCAGGGACCCACAGGTAACTGTAGGCCTCCATGGCAGCAGCTGACATCAGGCCGTCACACATGACCCAAGTTTCAGCTCGGTTGGGTCAATGAGTACTTAGTTTAAATGTGGTAGCAGATTGATAGATTCACAATAAATACGGTTTCTTACAGTATGTTGTTTAACCAAAGTGGGAAGCCGCCCTATCCACATACATCTTATCTGTGATCAGTTTGATGACCTGTACGATTGCTTTGCCTGTTGAATTACATCATTTCACACAGAAAACGAAAACAAGTGCATCTACTCTCTCCCCTGAAGATCTTGTGTCAGTGGAGGTCGTGTTGTTCAAGGCGCCGCTGTGAAACCACGAAGCCGTAAACCTCGAGCGTCTTGTTGCTTTGCATAGGCAAAAACACAACACCGGTTCCTATCAGTGTTTGCTGCTTGGCTTGCCCAAGTTTAAATGTTAAAATCAGTATTGGAAGCTAGAAAATAGGCCCGGTCCATCCCTCGTGGATAGCAGTCTATTTCCATCTAAATGGTTTTGCAGAAGGTTTTTCACCTTGGCAAAGATAAATGTTTGCAGGAATGTTTTTTTATTTTTTCTAATACAGAAGCATGTTTTTTGTTGTGTGGATGGATAAACTTAAAGATCCCCAAACAATTATCAAATCTATTGGCAGCTCCAGCCCCAAAAAAACATCTGCATGAGTATTAAAAAAAACCTGCACTATCGCAACAACTGTCTTTTGAGTTTCTCCCTACCTGCTGCTGTGCTGTGCTGTGTGGGAGGTGGGGGGTGATAGTGTGGCTCAGTTGTTCTGCCAGAGAAATGGATTTGCAGTGATGGATGGCACCAGTAGCACTGTACAGGTCTCAGCCTGTTGCTGAATCACAGCTTTAAACTAATTTTGTGGGCACAGCGGAGCCGTTGTGCTTTGTGCCCCGGCTCGGGACCTGGCTCGTCTAACAGCCCTGCTGAAGCTTGCATGCCAATTACCCCCCTCCCCCAACCCCTCCCCTACTTTTGCCAAGAAGAGCAGGCGTAGCAAGAAAACACAAGTATTTGCACATTTGCTGAAGCAAACACTTTGCTTTAGTGCCCTTGTAATTCAGCAGCATAGGTAGCAGTGACTGTCACTGTGCGGCTTCCTGTGGACGAGCCCCCAGTTCATTTAATTACACCCGTCACGGCCGTTTTCCTTTCCGGGAGAGATTTTCTAGCATCGGTGTATATCGTGCATCGGAGGAGTTTCTGCTTGATTCACCACATCTTGGACATGTTGACGTCTTCTTTTGCTTTGTTGTGTATTTATAAGTCGTGTGTGGGCCTGCGATCTGTCTTAAAGCGTGAGGGTCACTGCACGCTCTTTACCTCGTGTGAGTGATGTGAAAACTAAACTGAAGAAAGAAAGTGAGATTTTGGTGGCAGAATTAATTTCACTCAAGACGCTTTCTGTCATGTTTTTAATTTTTCGTGGACTGCTGCGCTTTGGACAGATGTGTTTGTGATCAGAGGATCGACAACGTGTGACGTGAAATGTATGGAACAGTCGTTTGTTTATCAGGCCGTGATGTTGTGACGTTTGGCCCTTACACATGCTTGCACTCACTACTTTCTCTGCTTCCACTGTGTTTTTTAAGGCTTACAACTTGTTACCTCCACTTTTTAAAGTCCCTCATGACACGAGCTTTCGATACAGCAGCTGAAGCCAAGAAAGGATTGTAAAGTTTCACCTGGATTCAGCTCAGTGGGCTGTAATGAAGAGAGAGCATGCATGTGTTTAAGGGAAAGGCTAATCCTTTTACACTGTTAGATGTCATCACTTTGTGATGTTCAGTGCCTTAGCTTGTTTTTATGCAGGGATTTAATTTGCTCGTGTGGCGCAACAGCCACAGAGAATGAGCATAAATTGATTTCAATCAAGGTTCTTTTAGTCATGGCGAGTAAACCTACACAGCTTAAAGGCATGTTTGTTATGTTTTGGGCTATGTATAATTATAGTTGTGCATGGTTGTGTCTGACTCCAATCTCCATATGATTGCTTTGCATTATTGTGCATTTAAATTACCCTGTGAGAATTGTGACTTAAGGCCCTTTCAGGCTGGGAAGTGACAACGGCGGCAGCTGCCACTTACTTTGCATGGCTCTCACCAGAATTACACAGCGGCCCGCTCTGCATCCAGCAGCAACATTTTGACATGGTCTAACTTCAGCTTAAAATGAGGGGAAGCTGTGCGTGCTCATGGTTCTCCGTCCCCACAGTCCCTCTCTCTCCGTTCTGTGGTCACTAATGTCACGCTGGAAAAATGTCAAAGTGATGCTGCGCCGTTCATTCATCGGCTAGAACATTAAAAGGTTAATCCGATGATTCAATATTGCTCTCTCATAAAGTTGTGGGTTTGCAAGAGGTTGGATTTCAGACGTGCGCTTTCTCCATTAATCTGACGCCATCCCAACATGTTGGCCTCATGTATGAATGAGCACCTTGGTAACCCTCACTGGGTCAGACCTAGTAAACACTCCCGTATCACTTTCACCGCGGCGCACGTCTGAACTCCGTGTAGTCACGCTGCCAGATAGGCATGCAGGAGGGCAGACTTCTAGAAACCTCTCCTCTGAGTTTTATAAAACATCTGCAGCATCAAACAGCAGCAGCAGGATCCATGTGAGAGTTGCATGTATGTGGAACGGCGCTAATTTACATTAATTATTTGTCGTTATGAATTATTCTTGATATGGAGACGGGATCAATCAGAATCCAGCAGCACGTCACACTGTGGATGTCAGACAGGTGAGCTGTCACGCTCTAGATGTAACCTCTTGCTTATTAGTGCATCATTATATCTGTTGATGTGCCGTCCAGTTTCCTGTGTGAGACAAGTGTTGTACCACGGCTCTTTCCGTCACTGCTATGAGGAACACGGTTGTAAAAGTAAATGACAGAAGACCATTACTACTCATAATTTCAGGCACGTTACTTATTCCACGTCTTTACACGAACCGGTGACATCATCAGGGTCGAAAGTTGCCTCAGCGGTGCAAAGTTTGCCGCCAGCGGTCGTCCGTCACGGTGGCGAAACGTCTTTCGGTGGATTTATCCTTTAGCTTTGGTAAAACATCCCAGTCTCTCGGGACGGCCCGTATTGATGGCCTGTCACGACGCAGGTAGTGTTAGTGAGGTGATGCAAACATTAAAGTGACAGTATTGTTCTGCTTATATCGCCCCCTCCAACAAAAACAAACTCCCTGGCCATCTCATCTCTCCTCCTCCCCCTTTAGAAGCAGACGGAGGGATTCGTGGCAGCAGTGTGTGTGACCCGGGACCTGTTTGGGTCTGTAATGCATTAAGATGAATGCAGCGATCCCGCTGTCAGATGATGAATTGCGGGCTGCAGGGGAGGCTCTCCGCTATGTAAAAGAGGCGCTTGCAGACATGGCACTTTCATCAATCACCAGAAGGACTGCTGTAATGTTGTTACACTGCAGAAAGAAGAGCAGTCTCTGTTTGTGTGCAGCAGACAGACCTGGACCCCCTTTTCTCTGTTTGGATAATGCTTTTCTTCCCCATGTGTTCTAAGAAACATAACATTTAGGCAGATAAAGTCCCTGTTTTTGGGCTTCACTCAGAATGATCCCACCGTGTAATCAGCCGTCCTCACACAGGTGTAACGCTGCCTTATCTGCCCTACAATTTTCTCTTTTTTTTTTTACTTAGACAGCAGTATCAAGGTCTCAATTAAAGCGACACCCGGGATCTCACATTCACACCTCCTCACCAAAGCCCAGCAGAGCTTCCTGACAGCGGGCCCACAGCTGCTTAGTCGACACTTCAGGAGCCCTGGAGATGATTTGAGGGGGGAAAAGGTGCAATGCCCCCGGTGGAGTGACGGCGGGTTGCAGCAGACTCAGCCAGCTCCGGGGAGATTAGAGCAGCAAATACAGGTGAACAAGGCAAATGTCATTCCCAGGTTACAGGCAGAGAGAGAGAGAGCCAAAGATATGAGATGTTTTTCTTCTTTGTTTGCAGTGGATCAGTATTTTTTTTTTATACAAGATATCATTTGGTTGCAGAAAAATCTAGATTCACTTCAAATATGTGCAGCTACAGTGCTCTAGCTCAAAAATATATATTTTTTTCCAGTTTATTATTGATTTGTTTTTAAAAGCTCAGTTTTTGACTTTTGCGCTATTGCAGTGGTAACTTCCTGTTGTGCTCAAGCCTCAGCAGTCCATTACATTGGCTTTTAAAGGCTGCCAAGGCTTCAAAGTTGGTCTAAAAGTCCATTTTTTCTTGTTGTTTTTCTTTGATCAGAAAGTTTGTGATCTAATTTTAGAACACATTTTGTTGGTTTGTGTTTAGACGTTAAAACACTATTAAAAACCAAAAGGCGAATGAGTTTAATATACTTTGTTGACTTAAGGATACAGTTAATTTTTCTTACAGCTTATTATCAGAAACCCACTTTGGAGCGAGTATCATCTTGATTCTCAACCCAACAAGAATGATGGTTCGGGAGCATAAAATAACTCCGCTTGCATTTTATTCCTAAAAAAAAAAACAAGTCATATCCTCTCAGAAATAGAACACTTTCTTATAGCTGACAGGATCTAATGATTCTGCTGCTGTTTTTTTGTGAGCTGCTCATATCTTTCCCGGAGCCCACCACATCTCCACCACTCTGTCTCGCTCGTCTCTGCC